CCTGGATGGAATTTTCTTCTCAGCTTTTCTCTTCAAGTGCAGGCTGAAACTTACCTTGGCCTTGGCCGAATTCCCTCTCTCTTATCCGTGGAATTTAATTCCTATTCTATTTCCCTAATTCACTTCACGGATGCAAGGCATTGAATTCCCTCAGCCTGCCTTGGATCCCGCCGCCCCTTCTCCTCCCTCTCTCCCAATTCTCCTCTCCACCTCCACTTCCCTATTGGATTTGATTTTCCACTCTTCTTACTTTTAAGTCCTTCTCCTCTAAACACCAAAACTGAAGTTTTCCCCCATAATTCCCTCTAGAAATCTGAAGGCAACTTGGAATTCGTTTCTCAGATTTTGGGAGACAAATCTGAACTGTTTCAGATTTCCTGAAGGATTTGTTTCAGATTATTACCATCTCCTACCCGTTCTACATCACATAAGGCCAATGACGAAAAGAATGATGATGATGATGAGCCATGACTTGAAATCATTTGATACAATACTTCTGTTCCAGAGCTAGATGTAGAGTTTATGCCCCACCATCCTAAATCACAATACAGCAAGAACAGCCTTGCATTTCCAAGAATGAAAAGTTGAGCAGGTCAATGGGTTGAATGAAAAACAACGTCTAAAATGCTAACGGGAGCCTAGATAGGGTATACGATGAACAAGATCATGTAGCACGGGACATAATGGTCAAATGTTAATGGAGATAACAGAGGGAATTGGATATCATAACTCAAACATGGGAAAAACAGTCAAACCTCGGTATAGTTAAATGACTAATAAAAATATAAGATGAAGAAAGGATAATAATAATCAAACACACAGGAGAAGATTAGAAGCATCGTAGTCCTTCATACTAAGAAAATCAATTATTGAAAAGCAGGGTAACCTTTAGAGCTCTCTATGATTTCTTCCAATATCTTTTCTTCATTCTGAAGAAGTTGCTGCAACTTTGGTATCTCTTCCTCAAGTTTTGGAATAAAAAATGATGATTCCTCGTTATCCTTCTTAATTTCATCAATTTTAGATGAGTCCTGACAGGCACGTAATTTAGTGAGTGCATTATGCTTTATTCTGTAACAAAAGATACGCAAACATGGAACTTAAAACAAAATCCCACTTCACTATTTGTTCAACAAGAGAAAAGAACAATAGCCATGAAAAATAAACCAAACTTTTGCACATTAAAAACAAAATTTAACTTTTGTAAGGACAAACATAACTTCAAGCAAAAGAATGACACCTAGACAAAACCACACGTTACACAAACCTTTTTGAGTTTGTCATCAGATTTCTTAATTTTTTGCTTCAGGTGATTACGATCTTCCTGGTATTTAACATCCTTCCTCTCAAACTTCTTGAATTCATCTTTGCAGATCCTCATTTCATTGTCAAGATCCTAATCCATCAAAGAAAATAGAGAAAGAAAAGAACATACAAGTAATTCATGTATCAAAAAGATAAACAGTAATCCAGCAGAAAAATACAGCCACAAAGACATAAGGGTAGAACTATATAAACTAATGTAGAGGTTCTAGCTGTATATGTTCTCTACCAAACCAACAAGCTACACGCGATAAATTGAACCCATATAAAAGTTTCATTATCAGTTTCTTGTTTTGATTTCAACCTGTATTTAATGTAACTAACATCAGCATCAACCTCAAACATTTATCCCACTAAGTGGGGTCGGCAACATGAATCCTTTTTTCTCTATTGTGTCCTTCTAAGAGTTAAATTCTCATTTAAATCTAATAAAAAAAAGTCATTTCTAATAATTCATAGCCAAGTCTTTTTAGGTCTACATATATTTTTCTTAACATAGGTCAAAGCTAATACATCTACTCTCTTAACCAGTTCTTCAAAAGGCTAATATTTTATGTGACCAAACCATCTAAAGCAACTCTCTCTAATCTTACCTGGAACTGGATCTACTCCAATATTTTCACGTATAAACTTGTTTCGCATTTTGTCTCTAAGAGTAAAGCCACTCATCCATCTGACCATCTCATCTCTGCAACACTTAGCTTGATTTTATGTTTCTTTTTAAATGGCCAGCATTCTGCGCCATAATGCATTGCCGGTCTAATCACCATCTTTTAGATTTTTCCCTTAAGTTTGAGGCTTACTTTTCTAACTTATGTAAGGAACACCGATGCATTCCTCCACTTCATCCATCAAACTTGAATTCTATTAATATTACCATTTATGCCACCATCATTTTGAACAATAGACTCGACATATCTAAAAGGTGTACTTTTTTTATGATTTGATCGCACAAAGTCACAATTCCCCACTAGATATATTACTACTAAAATTGAACTCCATATATTTGATTTTAGATCTACTCAAACAAAAACTCTTAGACTCTAAAGTTGGCCTCCATAATTTAAATTTTCCTTAACTCCCTCTCTAATCTTAACAATAAGAAGATCAACAAAAAGCATACCATGGTGCATCCTCTTGCATTACTTAAATTATCTGTGCTCCGAAAATTCGATAAGATAGCAAATTTTGAACAAAATTATTTAGCTAATTTACTAAGCAAGTCAAACACAACCAAGAGTTAGATCAATAGCTCTCTCTCTCTCTATATATATATATATATATATATATATATATATATATATATATAATACATGTGCTTATAAATAATCATTTATAAAGATACTTTTCTATTTTTATCATCCATTTTACTAAGCATAATAGGCAATATATGTTTAATGTTATATGGTGATTAAAAAGTGTTGTACAAGAAATATTATAAATTGTTCTCATAAAATCAAAGTAATTGATAGAAAAATTCTCAATGCATTACTTATTCATAACATTGACTTGTTATTTGTGTTCAAAAAGCGTTTGGCATAATATTAAGCAAGTCAAACACGTGATAGAGACCATCTACCAACTTCTGAAACAACATCAAGAAGGCAGCAATAGTTAACACACAGATCAAAGTTGTTTATGCATTCATTATCATTTATTGATTTTATTTTGGTCACGTGGACCACATTTTATGACATTTTTTAATGTAATTTCAATTAATCATGATAGTTTACTTCAATTAGGAATTTAGGATGGATTTATTACTTATTATATTGTTATTTTAAATTCTTCTAGAAGTTTTTTAATTTCAACTTTTGGAATAATCATGGATTGTAGATAAGGCAGGCTAATATTAACAGAGCTTTGAGACTAATATTTTCATCATTCAATCAAAGTTTATGAGATTTCTAGGTGTTGACACCCTTTTATGTCAACACATCGCCGATCGAGCCGGTTTGCACCCAATTGAGTTCCGTTGAAATCAAATCGGCCTCAAATCAAGTTTAATTAAACTTAAATTAAATCAATTCGATTTGATTCGATTATATAAAATTAACTCAATCGAATCAAATTAAACTCAAATCAACTCAAACCAATTATATCGAGTTTGGTTTGACTCAATTTGAGCCAAATTAACTCAATTGGAGCTTAAATCAACTTCCAAATCAAGTAATTGGGATCAACGATCATGATTGTCCCCAAATTTCAAACATGCTGTCACGACCCGGCCCGGATGCTCGATCTAACGAGGCGGGTACGAAAAGTCGGACGATAAAATTTCTTAAACATTATACTACATCATTCATGTTAAAGAGACACTAAAACACAAAATATATTTTACCTGCTGTCATTTGCACGCCGCCTTCTGTAAACATGTTCTTCTCTTTCAGCCATTTCTTTTCTTAAGAACTTACCTGAAACATTTAAACTCGTGGTTGAGTTTACTATGTAAACTCAGTGGGTATTTAATTAAAACAATTAATATGCATAAAAATATGTTGATTATATCCTTTCTTAATCTTAATTCTTTCATTTCATTGATTTATACTTCTTCGGATGTTTTCATTTAAAACAATTTAAAATATTCGTTATATTTAGTATCTCATTTATATTTCATTTTCCCATTTGATTTGCACAGGAGCATCGTCTCAAAGTACCAAAAGGTACAACCTTTTCCATTTCCATAGCATTTTCCTTTTCCTTTTTCGTACACGAGTACGGCGTCCCCAGCCAGTACCATCAGGGGGTGAACTCATGTCGTTTTCAATACCTTTTCCTTTATTCTCTTTTCTTTTCTTTTCTCATTTTTATCCGTATTGTTACCATTGCATACAACATATCTACATATATCTCTATAAATATTACTTATCATTTGCATATATGAATCATATACATATGTATGTTTTCTTTCTAAACTTTTACTTTTTATATCTTTGATATACTCATTATATATCCTTTTTCTTTTCCATAATTGTACTCATACATGTCATTGCTTATTTCTGTAAATCATTTCAAACAGTAGCAGAAATCATAAGTCTAACAATTTCATATATACTTCTTTCTAAATGAAAATAGAATTGAAATAAAGAAATTTAAACTTTTATAAATACCCACTTTGAAAATTTCAGGCCTTTGAAACCTTGAATCAATTTTCCTCCCTGTTGAATCCTCGTGGTTTTCAATTCTTACGACTTGATCTCCCCCTTCTTGAAACCAAATGGGAACTTCTCAAATTCCCAAAATCATTTCTCTCCCAAATTCCTTTTCTCTTCGCTTCAATATCTTCCTTATTCTCTTCTTCCCTTAATATTTCTCGTCTGTTTCTCTCGTTCTTCAAATCTCTCCCAAAATAATACTTTTGATCCCTCGCACGAACGCTCCGTCGCCCGCCCCTCTCTGTTTCGCGTGAAAGAGTCTGTAGTGACCCTCTGTTGGGTCGCGGCTAATAATAGAAGGCTGGCCGGTTCGGTTGAACCGGCCAAGCCTAAACCGGTTATTACACATGTGTCTTTGTCTTCCTGTCCAATCATGTTGTCTCCTCGATTTGAAGCAGATTTGAGCGGCTTCGACAAAGATTGAGTGGCAAGTACTCAAGTGTCGAGGGTTCTCTCATTTCTTCCATATGATACACTCGAGAGAGGGTGGGGACTTGATCTTCATGCTTCTGCATCCCACGTGCGTGCGTCCATCTAGAGAGAGCGAGAGACCGAGCAGGAGGGTTCCTCTTGCGTGCGTCTAGGGTGGAATCGAGCGAAGAGGAGCTAGCGGGAGATCTCTTGAGTGCATCTGGGGTTAAATTGAGCGAAGACGAGCACGCAGGAGATCTCGCGTGTGTGTCTGGGAGGAACCGAGCTGCTTCTCTATTTGTGCCTGGGAGCAAATCAACCGAGAGACGATAGCCTCCTTCCTCGCATGTAGGACTGGGAGATCGAGCGACTTCTTCCTCTAAGAAACAATTGATCAGGAAGAGTTAAGCGGATAGAGTGATCCATTCTCCTTCCTTTGTGCATCTGAACCGGTCATGCAGGAGTTCGTGTGGCCAGGGGGCTTTCTCCTGTAGATTATTGCGTGTGTCTCAACTGAACTAAGCTATAGAGGAACTAAGAAGGGCTCAAAAAAAAAGAACGAGCAGAGTTTGTGGAAGGAGTTGGTGTAGCTCTTCATCTCTTCATTTCAGCGGTCAAATAGAAGGAAGAAGAGCTTCTTCTTCCTAAAAAAATCAACTCTAGTGAGCTCATGAGCGGAGGCAGCTTCCAGAAACATTCAAACAACAGCTGGTTTGTGTTTTCAATCGTCTATACCTCTTCAAGGTATAGACGCAACAATCGAAAACACTGTACATTGGCTTCACTGAGGTAAAATGCTCCTAAACTTAGAAAACCCCAAAGTCTCTATAAGCCTTATGGATATGTTTTTGACGCTCCTCGAGCCGAAAACACCCGTATTTTATTTTCCAAAGCTGAAAACACCTATTGTCCTCTCTGCAAAGCGATGGAAATCCAGTGATTTCCACTTGTTTGCTCTCAAAAGAGAGCCCGAGGAGGACACCGAAGCACGTAGGGTTGTTGCCTCGTTGGATTTGTATTCAACGACCCCCAAATGCATGCAATAGCATTCATATTGCATTCCAAACATTCGCCTACGATCAAACCTTAAGCTACGCATCATCATTTGATCATAACTTGAGTGATGGGCAAACAACGCATCAGTTTCATATTTGTAGCATGCATCACTTCCTATGAAATCACAAGTTATGGCAAAATTAACTTAAAGATTTAAGATATTTGCATTGCTTAACAATCATGACATTCCATAAATTTGTTAAGTGTTCAAAAATGAGATTCAATTAATTTTGAAAGCTTATAAGCAATTGGGGTCTTTCATGAACTCTCGTGTTTAAGTTTCAAATCCCATGATAAATATAATTAGTTGAATTCGCTTTTGACATTTCTTCAAATTTAGAGAAGCAGAACAAATGATGAATAATTCCAATCCAAATGACCGCACACTTAATCATACTAAGTTGCATGGTTTAAGTTGCATCACTCAAACCTTAGAAAAATGCATGTTGTA